TCCCCTCCCCCCACCCCCACTGCCCTAGCCCATCAATTTGACACAATGACCCTTCAGGAACCCACATGGCTCATGGACACCGGTGCAGCTCATCATATCGCCTCCGACCCAGGTACTATTTCCCATGTTTATTCAAAAAGTTTAAATTCACCACCTTTTATCACTGTAGGTAATGGATCTAAAGTGCGCGCCACGGCGGTTGGTAAACACATTTTCCCCACCTCCCCACCCTTATCCCTATATAATGTCCTTATTTCCCCTCACATCATCCACAACCTTATCTCAGTTCGTCAGTTTACTCGTGATAATAACTGTACTATTGAATTTGACTCTAATGGCTTTTCTGTGAAGGATCCTCGAACGGGCAACGTGATTCATCGCTCCAATGACAACGGCCCCCTCTACCCCCTGCACCCGCACGTCCCACTTGCTCAAGCACATGTTGCCTCTGTTGACACCCAGACGTGGCATCGTCGTCTTGGCCATCCTAGCCCAGCTGTTTTCCATGCCATTCCCCCTTTATCTGTTTTTAATAATAAACATTTTTACGAAAATTTATGTCATGCCTGTCAGTTGGGGAAACATGTGCGTCTCCCAATTACTTCTTCTAGTCGTACTTCAACTTCTCCATTTCAACTTATGCATACTGATTTATGGCAGTCGCCCGTACCTAGCATTACTGGTTTTAAACATTATATGCTTCTTCTTGATGATTTTTCTCATTACTTATGGGTCTTTCCCTTACGTCACAAATCTGATGTTTTTTCTCAATTAACCCAGTTCATGGCTTATGTGAAAAATCATTTTAATACAACTATTAAAAATGTACAATGTGACAATGGAACAGAATATCGTAACACCCCTCTTCAAACCATCTTTAACTCCTTAGGCATTTTTTCCGCTTTTCTTGTCCCCACACAAGCCAACAAAATGGACGTGCCGAACGCACCATCCGAACCCTCAACAACACAATTCGCACCTTGCTCTTTCAAGCCCAACTACCCCCTGAATATTGGGTCGAGGCACTTCATATGGCCTGTCATCTTTTTAACCTTTTACCCACCACCACTATCCAAAAACGTACCCCTCACGAGATACTTTTTCAGACCCCACCATCCTACGATCATCTCCGTGTCTTTGGATGTCTCTGCTACCCAAACATCTCCGCAACTGCCCCCCACAAATTATCTCCCCGATCTACTCGGTGTATTTTCCTTGGCTATCCCTCCAACCAACGTGGTTTTCGATGCCTCGATCTAACTACCCACAAAATCATAATCTCCCGTCATGTCACCTTTGATGAATCCACCTTTCCTTTCGCACATCCCACCACACCATCATACCTTAACTTCCTTGACACCATGGATGACACAATTCCCCATACTTTACACCAATTATCACAAACCCCGCCGGCCCACCCACTCGTCACCCACCCCATCCCGATTACTACCGCAGCCCAGCCCAACCC